ATTCTAATAACAAGACGACACAACAGCTTCCCATGGCTCCTCTGAAAGGCCCTTTCACAGACTACAGCACTTCACAGAGCTGTTTGTCAACAGGTATGCCAATATGGAAAATTCAGTGCAAATATTTGGGCATGGGATTCCATGCCTCAAGGTTTCAACACATAATTCACAGAACAGAGTGCTGGTATTGTTTAAAAACCAAGTGAAGCTGATGACGGATGGGGTTTGAAGAACATGTAACTTAGAAAGGCAAGAGAAAAAGAACAGGCCACTGGCCTTGGACCTCAGGTGACCAAGGAGAGAATGTACTTGGTGTCTGACACATCTTTTCATCTTTCAGTGTCCTTTGTCTAGACCACTGATTTCTCTGCTAAGGAAACCATTTGTGTGTGATTAGCAAGTAAAGGACAACCAAGATGAACCCTTCTACTGTGCCACCATGTGAGTTATCCAGGAAGTGGCCCAGGGGTGCAAGGAGATGGGTAACCCTGCCCTACATATCAAACTCTAGGCCACCGCAGGAAACTGTATCAAGACCTTGGGTCCTCAAAGCCCTTGTTTGTTCTAAAAGGACCAACAGATTGAAGATGTCACCTCATTCCCTCAGCAGCACCTGACAGAACGGTGTCACCAGACCCACTCACTATAAACAAGAGTCTTCAAATTACTTCCTGTTAATAATTTGTCTTTGTATAAGTTTAAAAAATAAAATAAGCAAAATAATACTGAGTTAAGTGGGATCTAAAACCAGATTCTTCTAGTATATTCTATTTTGTTAATTCCCTGTAAACTTACAGCCTTCAGGTTAGCTGGAGATATCCAGAGTGAAGTTGGGGTTCCATTATAGATACTCTTGAATAAGTCACACTTCATAGATGAACATACTAGAATAAAATATTGAGAGAGATTTAATCTGTTCTGTAAGGACATGTAACATGAAGTTCCTCTGGCTGACCACTGTGATGGAAGCTATTGTCCTGACTCCTTCCCACACTCTGCGGGAGTCAAGCAGGCCCAAGCCCATCACCTCTCCCACCCAATCAGTTGACCTTAGCTGCATGAAGGGGAGGAGCTGTCACCATATTGAGCACTGGGAACAGAGCAGCTAAAGGCAGGCAAGGGTGTGGGACACGCTGATGGCAGAGTTTCATGTCTTTGTAAGTCACCCCCTCTGGGATGTCATAAACTATGCAAAACCCAAACAGAAGGTATTCTGTGGGTCGGTCAACCCTGGGACCTCAGACGGCGTGGATGTGTGGGTCTCCCAAGAAGGGGGAGGAGAGAATGTGGTGAAACAGGACATACTAATACATTTAAATTTCTTTTGAAACGTGGTCTAGCTTTCTGTTCAGGGACAAAATTTCTGATGTAATTAACTTTAAAGGAGGAAACATTTATTTTGTCTCATGGTTTCAGAGATTTCAGCCCATGACACTTTGCCCTGTTGTTTTGGGACTGTGGCAGGACAGTGTATCATAGAGAGAGCATGTGGTAGAGAAGGCTGTTCACAGCATGGCATCAAGAAGAACAAGGGGAGGAGTCACAGTCCCAATCACTCTTCACCGGCACACCCCAATCCCCTAGTGTCCTCCCACCAGGCCGTCCCCTATAGGTCCCATGACCTCCCAAGAGCACTTCCATCTGGGTCCAAACCTTTAACACATGGGCCTTCAGTAAGCATTCAAAGTCCAAACTGTAAAAGGAATACTATTACTCTCCCCAGCGAGAAAGCAGCACTATACTGATGACCCAACATGAAAGTCTTCAGTCACTATTTCCTGAAATTGACAGTATTCTGTTCAAAGGTATGTCACATCCTCTGTTAAAATAACAAATGACAATCATAGAATGGGAAGGAGCTTTAAGATCAAGAAAATAAATCTCTTTATTTTTGAAAGGGCAAAACACCAGGTCCATACAGCTGAATATGTTAGCCAAATTCACAGAGCTGAGTGATGTCAGAACCAGGCCAGCTGGCAATCCTAAAGTCCCAGTTGTCCAACACCAACTAAATTAGCTGGCCCGAACACATGCTGACATCGTATGGCCGATGTTAAGTAAATCAGCCAACACTCAAGCTCAGGCTTTCTGTTTTAGTTTCATAGGTGCCTCATTCAACAAATATTCATCTGCCAAGATACGAAATGATTTACTATCTTAGTTTCCAATAAAACAGCACAAACGTTACTAAATTATATTAGATAAAAAAGTGAGACCTTCTTAAAAAATAATAAAAGCACTCATTCCTACAACATACTGAGAAGGTGGTAATTTAGTGGACAAACCGGTCTAGAATTACTTTCAAGTCAAAAGATCAAGGTCTTTTCTCTCATGCAAATACCAATCACCATCACAGCCATGTGCTCTCTGAGAGCCCTGAAGCCCAAACCAGAGCCCACACTCCAGCTGCAGAGGAAGAGGAAGAGGCAAAGAACCCTGTGCTCCCCACATTTCACAGATGAAAAGAACAATTTCTAAGTTAACATCTTGTGGTGAGATTTAAAAAACACAAAAGTTAAAAAACATAAAAGGCATACTTGACCTTTAAGTTTCTTGGCAAAATGCACTTAACAAGATTGTTAAAACAGCTTTGAGGGATTTAAATGCTGTATTAAAGCACAAAAATCATATCAGGGAGTTTTTCAATCTAAGCAACAGAAAATCCAATTTAAGAAAGGCACAACTAGGCAAGAGCAAGAGCATTCTGTTTAGATACAAGTCACCAGGCACTGTAGACATGTCCGTGCACACAAACAGCAGCAGGAGCTTTGGATTGCCCTGACAACCACCCAGCCCGGGGCCCTTGGCAGCAGGGAAGCGGCCACCAGACAAGGCCATGGATTCCAGGCCAGGCCGTGGACAAAGATAATAATATCCTCAAGTTTGCGTATATGCTTTAGACAAGATGTGTTCTTTAAAAAAACAACTCTGCAACACTAAACATATCCATGTCAACAAACCAGATTTTTTTCTAGCCATATAACACTAACAATTACCCATCTACCATCTAAAGAATGAGAACCATATATTTCTCAAAGTTATTAAATGCTCACACATTTATTAAGTCACACTCATACTTTCAGAAAAGACCAGTTATAACTGGGAATACTTATTAAAGATGGTACTTATGACAAGTCCTTGCAAGTTAAGACTTCCTGAGCAAGTAATTTTTTTTTCTTTTCTCCAGCTGCTTTCACAGGCTTTGGGTGGCATGAATCCTGGGGGGGGGGCATATAGGAATAATACTTGCATTTAGCCACAGGGCATTTCATATCAAAGCAGTGAGATCTTAGAGTGAAAATTATCTCTATAGGGAGGTAATCTGATTTGCAGAAGATGTAAGTCCTATAGGAAACTCCTAAGGGGGCCTGAGATTTCAAAGCTGCACATAAAGAGGTGAACCTGCAGGTTTGGCTTTACTCTGAATAGCTGGTATTTTATCAGATGGATAAAATGACAGAAACAACTTCACTTCTAAAGTTCTGCAAACTGTCTTTATGGCATGGATGGTCGACTTAAAATTGCACAAATGAAATCGTTCAAACTCAGGCTTGGTTAAGAAGCTTGATCAGCTACAGCTGAAGTAGTAACCGCTGGTTCCAGTGTCCCTGTTATTAGACCGAATAAGCACCACTGTATTTATTTTTTTAATTTGGTGCAGGCATGCAATCGTATCAACCCTGCACAGCATTAGATGGGGGAATAGAGACAAAGGCTTGACATTGGTGTGGATCATTTGAGAGTGGAAAGGCAGTCCTGGGATTTAAAAATGCTACTCAAAGCGTTAGAGTGTCAGGGATGTAGCCTGGTGATGGAGTGCTTACATACCAAGCCTGAGGCCCTGGGTTCTATTCCCACCAATACAGAATTGTCAAATGGGTTTAACAGAAAACACTTGTGTTTATACTATGTGAGGCAAGAAAGGGGTTGAGTTGTGTTAGTGTTTGGAATGTTCTTGATTCTAAAGGGCAATACTTAAAGTACAATTTTTAAAAAACTCCCAAATTACTTCATCAGTTTACATTTAAAGGCATTTACCCCTTTGTGAGGTATTAGTAGCAAAATGAACTTGTTTGCTTTCAAACATTTAAGGAAAGCATTTTTTAAAAAATGTATTGAAATACTTCTGGCATCAATCCAAATTCTGAGTCATTGAGATGGCGGCGGGGGGCGGGGGGTGGAACCCAAAGGTGGAGTAGAGATGGGCCAAAAGAAATGGGAAGTCAAAGTGACACACAATCGGGAGGGTGCTGTGTGTGCGGCAGACTCAGCTCTCTCTCCAAAGCTGGGCCAGGCAACCTGTTTCAAAGGCTCTCCCCTCACCTCTCCGGTCAGGGCTCCCCCTCTCCCCGCTCTTCTGGGCGCACCATCCTCTCTCCTTCCCTCCTCCTCCAGCAACGGTTCCACAGGCCACCACACAAACTGTGTCAGCCCAACTGTTACAGCACACCCTCATGATTCACCATAGCCTCGGGTTCCAGAACCCAACTGCCAGCGTTTGAAAGCGAGCGGCTTGCGGTCTGGGGGAAGCGAAAGTCCGGGTCCCAGGCTGGCGTGAGGACAGCCCACCTCGGCGGGCAGAGCCTCCAGGTCCCTTCCCCCCGCTTCAGCTGCGCAGTGACCGCAGAGCGCAGGGCTGGCGGCACTCAGCAGGACCGCGGCCGCGGGGTGGGAGGGCTGCGCCCGGGAAGGTGATGTGCCCCGCCGCCCGGGAGGCGATGCGCCGGTGAGATGGTGCTCTGGGGAGGTGATGCTCCCGGGCTGCGGGAAGGTGAAGCACCTGGGGGTGATGCGCCCCACCGCCTGGCGAGCTGATACTCCGCCCGGGAGTGATGCGCCCCAACGCTCGGAGAGGTGATTCTCCGGGGAGATGATGAGCCCCGCCGCCCGGGCCACCACCTGTTCGGTCGCCCAGCGCAAAGCAGCTGCGAACCGCGCGGCTTTCTCTCCCGCCGAAGTTGCCCGACGCAAACTTTCCGCTGGCGGCTCGGGAGCCTTACCTGGGGCGTGGGCTGCCATGGCCTCCGACTCGCGGGCGGGCGGATTGCGGTCTCCCGCAGCAGCGACGGCCGGCCCAGCCAGAGGCCCCTCGGGAGCATCCTCTGGCCGCCCGGCTCTGCGTCAGCCGGCTCCCGCCACTCGGCCCAGCCCAGTCCACCCTCAGCGGGCTGAGGCGGCGACAAGAGGGCGTGTGTCCGGCTGCCACTCTGCTCCGGGCACACCCCTGGCGCCAGGCTGGGTTTTTTTCCTCCGACAAAAAAACTATTTTCGAAAAAGCAAGCGAGTTCCGGTCTTCGGGTTCCGAGGAAACAGTAGCCGGGACTCACACCAAACCAGCTATCGTCAAAACTCAACAGCCAGGAGTGGTGGGGCACGCGTGGGATGGAGGCAGACCGATCAGCAGATCAAGGCACCCTCCGCTAGATAGGTAGTTCGAGGCCAGCTTGAGCTACTCCAGACCTGTTACAAAACAGCTCCCACAACCAATTTCTGGCACTCTGAGAGTAGTCTTCCACGTCGACAGAGAGGGAGGGAGACCCAGGGCTCAAGGGAAAAGACTTCCCGGATCTGGAGGGAGAGGGTACCTGGAAATTGCTCTCCTCTGCCCAGAGGCTCTGCCTGCTAGTGTGCCCCAAGGCTTGTGGCAGCCAGCGCCCATGCAAGGTTGGCCCAGGGCTCTCTCTCTGCTGGAGGTCTGTAGCGCTTTGCATGCTGGCACAAATCCAGACTGAGAAGATTTCTCCCACAGCAGAACTGGTTTCTCTTCGGGGGACATATGAGTAGACCCTGCTCTCCCTGCGGCGGGAGTAGAGCACTGTGAAAGTGCTGTTCAAACCACTATTAGTGTTAATGATCAGTTCTCTAAGTTCATCCTGTAAGCACTCCTGATGCTCACTTGCCTGTAAACAAGCAAAGATGCACCGGCAGGGAGGCAATTTGGCTCCCTAATTGGAGTGTTGGATTTCCCCCTTGATACCCTGGCTGCCAAAGGACTAACACCCAGTCAGATAACCCCTTACCAATGCCAGCATCAGCCATTTTGAGCACTCTGTGGAGGCCCCGAGGAAACTGCATGATGATCAGAGCTGTTCACTCCAGCTTCTGAAGTTAGAGCCATAATTTGGAGTGTTTCAATCTGTCTACATGGGACTTTTGACTAGCAAAAGCCTTGGAGAACTCTGGATAAACCTGTAACTTTTTGTTTTTTTTGACCTACTATTTTCATGTATCTTCTGATAACATAGTGAAGTCACTATGTGGACAAGGCTGGCTCAATCTGACAGAGCTCTGCCTGCCTCTTTCTCCCCAGGGCTAGTATTAAAGGCCCATGCTGCCCCAACAGGCTGTAACCATTTCTATCCAGAGGAGTAGCACTTAACCTGGCAATTTAGCAGAGGGACTGCTTTAGAGGCACTGTGCCCTTGGTAGAGGGTATATCAATTGAGGAATTGCCACCACTGGATTGACCAGTGGCCATGTCTGTGGGGCATTTTCTTGATTGTCGAGTGATGTGGGAGGGCCCAGCCTATTGTGGGCAGTTCCACCCCTGGGCAGGTGGTCCTGTGTTGTATAAGAAAGCAGGCTGAGCAGGGGTCAGGGGAGCAAACTAGGAAGCAGAGTACCTTCATGGTCAGTGCTCCAGGTTTCTGCCCTGAGTTCCTGCCTTGGCTTCCTTTGATGATGGACTGTGAGCTGTAAGCCAAATAAACCAAAGTTGATTTTGGTCAGCAATAGAAAGTAACGAGGACAGGCACAAAAAGGACAATGTTGTGGTTGTTGTAAACACAAACCATTTGCATGAAAGCTTTGCTGTGAGTGATGCCCATACTCTTGCTCTGGCTATGTAAACAGGTGTTTTGCTTGCTTGGTGAGCCCACTGGTAGGCCCCATCCTGTTTTGCTTCCTCTGGGCTGGGCAAAGCCTTCGGCTGCCCTGCTGTTTCTGTTGTGTGCTGTCTGTCTGGTCCCTATGACCACCACCATGCCTCTGTCCTTTTTTTTCTTTGTGTAGGCAGTTCAAGTTTGCTCTACTGAGGAATTAAGAAAAGACCACTATGGAGAGTTTTATCTGGACAGCTGCATTGAGAGCTTCTGAAGAAGGCACAGCGGTATAAACAGCAGTACCAGCTGGAAGCATGGTGTCCTAGTTTGTTCTTCATTGCTGTGACAAAATACTCGGACCACTACCAACTTGGGGAGGAAAGGGTTTATTCAGCTTATATATCCCAGGTCACAGTTCATCAGGGAGCCCAAGGTAGGAACTCAGGGCAGGAACCTGGATGCAGGAGCTGGAGCACAGGCCATGGAGGAACGCTGCTTACTGGCTTGCTCCCCTGGCCCCTGCTCAGCCCGCTTTCTTATGCAACACAGGCCCACCTGCCCAGGGGTGGCACCACCCACAGTGGGCTGGGCCCTCCCACATCACTCATCAAGAAGATGCCCTTCAGACATGGCCACAGGCCAGTCCAATGAAGGAAATTCCCCAGTTGAGGCTCCCTCAAACCATTTGTGTCAAGTTGACACTAAAGTCATCCAGCACACATGGTCTTCCGGAAGGCAAAGGGAGCCAGCTGATTCAATACGAGCTCCAAGATTTTATCAGAGGAGCAAGGAACTGGGATGCAATAACCCCAGCAACCAGAAAATCTGATGTTTTTCTTATAAAAACAAGCTGTTTCCGAATAACCCAAGGGCCAGACATGGTAGTACATGCCTATAATCCCTGCACTTGGGAAGCAGAGGTGGAGAATCATGAGTTTGAACCCAGGCTGAAATACAGAGAGGCTTCCAGGCAAGCCAGGGCTACAATAGGGACCCTGTCAAAACAACAACAAAACCCCAAACAAAAACAAAGGCCAAACCCCTGTGGGGTGTTATCAGATCCCTGCTACATATGCAGACTGAAGTTTAGTAGCTTAAATAACTTATCAAAGGTCATATATATATATATATATAGCCTCAATTTAGGTTTAAGATTATGTAACTTATGACCTCAAGGTTTTAACTTTTGTAAGGGAAAAATACAGAGGGAATCAAAGATTGAAGAGAGAGATAATTTAATAGTACTTAAGTTTAATTACTTCATTGCTTATAACTTCCTGGGTAAGAGCCACTCAACTCTGGTACAAGGCTACACTGACACATAAGGGTGCCCGGAGATAGATAACGGGATGTGGGCTGCCACCCCAGGGCATGACCCGTGATAAGTCACATAGGCATGTGAGAGATAACAGAAGGCTGTCAGAAATGCTTGTGTAAATAAGAGATTACAGAAATCAGGAAACTGACACGTACCACCCAGAGGGTGACACACATGAATTGGCTTAAATCTATAGGTTAGGTGTTTTAAAGCTATTGGTTGTGTGAAAATGCATGGGCTCTGGAACAACGGCTGTGAAAATCCTATATAAACTTTGCCTGAAGTTGCTTCAGGGTCGATTGCTCTAACCAGGCCTACGTGTCTTGGGAGGATGGTCGACCCCAGCTAGCTGGCTTAATAAAGACTTTGCTTGAATTACATCTCAGTGCTTGTACATATTGTTTTCCTGGGAAGCCCACGGAGTCTCGGACCCTAACATTTGGGGGGCTCGTCCGGGATATGGGGGGCTTCTGGGGGAACAAAGGACGAACAGAGGCAGAGTCTCTTTGTCCGGACGGGGCAGTGTAATTCGGGGGTTGCTCCCTAGTGTCTGTATAAATCCAGTATAAAGCAAGAGTCGCCATCTCATGTCTGGTCTCGGGTTAGTGATGCCGAGTGAGGAAGTCCGGGTTGGAAGTCCCAGTCCCCAGGTTAGCGACCCTGGGTGAAGTTCAGGTAGCCAACCCTGGCCCTAGGGTCCAAGTGACTCGGCCTTAGGAAGGCAAGCCCATTTGGCAGAGACCTGGCGCCTGAGGTAGAGGAGGTTGAGCTCACCACCCTACGGCAGTCCGTGTGGACGCCTTTCAGGAGAATTACTAGAAGTATCGAGGATCCCGAAGGTGAAAGTGAAAGTGGTGAGTGTGGTGCGCACCAGAGTAAAGAAGGATGGGTCCGAGTGAGTACGATCAGATGTGGTGTGTGTGCTTAGTGTCGTTGTTAATTGTTATGTTATGTTGTGGTTTGTATTTATATTTCTTTCTGCGCTCTCTAGTTTAAGGCTCTCCTACCCTCCTTTCTGCCACTGAAACTCCCCGCGGGCCCAGGTCGGGCAGTTAAGAGCCATTAGGGCGCCCACCGCTGAAGGACACCCGTGACAGGATAAGGGGGTCACAGCCGCGAATCCCAGATAAATTCGCGTCCCCCGCAGAAGAAAAAACTGTGCAATGACAGGCACCCGTTCACAAGCACACACACTGGTCATCTTATTTAGAGTGGCGCCTTTACTCTTTACCTTCTGCCTTCTTCCTTCCTTACAATCCCCATTATGGGCCAGACTCAGGCTACTCCTAAAGGTTTAATTTTTTCTCATTTCATAGAAGTAAAGAAACGGGCCTTGAATATGGGCCTTAGTATCAAGAGAGGTAAGTTTGACACCCTCTGCTCTGCTGGATGGCCCTCCTTTGGAGTAGGCTGGACCTTATCAGTAAGGTCAAGGCTGTTATCACCCGGCCGGACCGGAGGGCCACCCTGACCAACTTCCTTATATCCCTGTCTGGGAAAATCTGGCCAAGAATCCTCCACCCTGGCTGAATCCCTTTTTGGTGGGGAAACCGCACACTGACCCACCAAAGACTTCAGTCCTGGT